AACCGAACATAGGTCGGCCCCTATCGGTTCTCATACTAAACCCCTACTTTCCACAATCTCGTGTCCACTCTAGTACTGATTACCTCTTCCGGAGGTTTAGTCCGATGCTCACATGCAGGTTGGGTCGAGCAACTTGGCAACCAGTTCAGGTTGTCTGGCGAGCCTTTAGCTTAACAGTGCTTTTGGTAGCCCCGATATTTCATTCTCAAGGGTGCGCATCCCCGGCTCCGGAAAGACAGGCGCGCAGATGGCAATGCCGCAATGCCCTCTTTTCCCCGCCAAGCCATGCTGCAGTGAAGGCCCTCCTCGACCGTGGCATCTTCCATCTCAGAAATCCTGATGTCGGCTAAAGTTCTTTTCCAAAAACGCTGCTGCCAAGCCTTAGCCATGCAAGAAGTAGTAGTGACACTGGTAATGCAGCCTTGAAGCTAAAGGACCCCTGTTTTGCTTATGCACTTAACAACGTCCCTGATTTCGGGGCTCCCGCAACAAGTTCTACTGCAAACTCACCACAACAATATCTTCTTCCACGAAAGCTCCTCGTCGCCGCTGGACAAGGGATCTCCATCCAACTCGGCATCGGGCTCCGGGCTGTCCGTGTCCTGCCAGCTGATGAATCTGCAGCAGGTTTTGACACTCACACTCGGACAAGCCTGGCAAGGTTTAGGGTTTACGCTCTCACAACTCGGACTCTGCCAGGCGAGGTCTGGGTTTAGGGCTAAGGGATGGCCTTCTGTGACCTCACCCTTCCTTTCTGCAAGCTTCTCCGCACTGCCTGTATGGATCTCAGGTCAGCAATAGCTCTCAGTCGCAGACAGATAATCCCGAAACAGCATGGCAACATCAAGAGCTAGCTGAACGTAACACTGGTGATATCTGATAGTGACATCGAGCCAACTAATGGTACAAGTCAGCTCAAAAGAAACCTTGCTCCCCCCTGTCGTCGAAGCCCGCAGATTCCGTTAAGCACCCCGTGATCGGCCTTGTGTCTTGAAGCTTCTTCTTTGTCCGATTGAAGCTTCAGGCTTCAGGGTTCAGAGTTTCGGGTTAGGGTCAGGGATGCTCCACCCCTGCCTTGCGCAAGCATCCTGGCCTCAGCAGGATCGAGCAGAGGATGATCCAAACGTGACGGGGTAGAAAGGTCCGCTCAGGCAGAACCCCGGTTTAGGGTTTAGGGTTTCGACTCTCACGCTCGCACACGGCCGGCAAGGCTCCGCATAGTTCTGTCTCCACTATACTACGCAACATTCAGGAGGATTCACGACTGCAGCAGTTCCAGGCAACACGTAGTAAGCATAAAGAGACAATAAAGGATAGCGCAGTTTAGGGTTTAGGGTTTAGGGTAGAACCCTAGACCCTAAACCCAAAAGGCCCTAGCACGTATTCAAAGCCGGCCGTGGGCTTTGCAAACCTGGCTCGAACTCGCAGTCCCAACACAAACAGCAACTGCCGCCCGAAAGTTATCAAGAGCACCTGCGCAAATGCTAACCGGAAAGAATCGGAAAGAACACTAGCTTTTTTTTTGCAGGGACTGCAATGCACTAAGCTCTGAATCCCTTCAGCCAAACTCCAGACTCCACTGCTTATGGCAGAGCATGTGTAGCGTGTTGGTGAAGCGTGTTGCATTGTCTGCAACCACTGATCTGGGACTACTTGAAAAGACACGACTTTGAAACCTGTTCTCAGCCCCGCAGCAAATACGACAGCGCTGCTTACCGTCAGACGAACACATAGACAGACAGAAGAAAACGGAGCAAGAAAGACAGAGGGATGAAGAGGAGGGACTGATATTGCAGGGGAGCTGCAGCATCCGATATCGCCGTGAACAATGAAGAACGATGAAGAAGCCGTGCAACCAGAACCCCAACAGCCTAAACCCTACAAACCCACAAAACCGTTCCAGAATTGCCTAAAAGCACTGAAACCCGCAAGAGCCTTTTTTAAACCCAAACTTCTCAACCCTTGCCCTCACAGGAACCACTTCAAAGACAAGCACAAATTCGAGCCCTAAAAACCCCAACCTACTGTAAACCATCACCTCTTTTGCATCTGGACTTGATGAATTCCAGCACCCCACTGAGCACAGGACCAAGGACTCTGCCCAGGTAACAGCACAGCGAAACCCTAAACCTTTCTGGGGGTTCCTGAAAATAGGGGACCCTAAAATAGTACCCTCAATAGTAGGATCCCTATTATAAGGACCCCAAAATAAGGTACCCCTTGTTTTCGGAAACTCCCTTCTGGCCCCAAAAAATCTCGCTGGGACCCCTGCTCCGTGGCCGACTGTGGCGGCGCCACAGCTCGAGACCTTCTTTCTGGGTGTCTTTGTGGCGCTGAAAGTTTCGGGTTTTTTGGCAGCCCAGGTTTAGGGTTCAGGGTGTGGTTTTCAATTAAGGGTTTCAGTCTCAAAGGATTTTGATAAGGATTTATCGGGATCCGTGTTAAACCTTCCGCAAGGGTTTTCCCGGGCTATTCCAAGATCGCCTGAGATTTTACTTCTGTGGGCAGGGCATGAAGTCGTCGGCGTTGCGCGTTAGGGAAGAGTTAACCTAAGCCTTTTGTCATCCGGTCTGCAGCGACTCTACCCCCTAAACCCATTTCGGTACGGACTGAGGTGCCGAAACCCAAAACCCAAAACCCTGAAACTCCAAACTCGAAACCCCTCTCTCTCCCTCTCACAGGTACTCGCAGCGTCAGACCTGTTCGCAGCAGGACGTGGTACGTTGATCATGCCACTTGCGGAAGTACTACCGAAAACAGAAACCCCTAAACCCCTAAACCCCTAAACCCTAACCCCTAAACCCCCCCACTATGGACGCTTAGGCCTTTTAGGGGGACCATGAACTCCTCTGAGACGCGTCCCTAAACCCCTCAACTCACAAACCTCAGGATGGGGGGGTCGGGAGCTCCGGGGCTCAAAAATTCCAAAGTCTAAGGGCAATGATGTTTAGGATTTCAGCACCCACAGCTGGGACGGGAGGTTTAGGATTTAGGGTTTCGGGTTCTTAGGGTAACCACGGTAGCCTTCTAGTTGGAACTATAAAGGGGATAATACTACATGTTAGGGTCTTCCGGGCTTGACTCTCACAACTGGGACAAGTCCGGGCGAGGTGTCTGAGCAACAGAAGTTCAAACGGAGGACACGCAGCCACACGGGACTGGCGTCACGCATTTTTACACTCGAGCGAAACTGCAAGGCACGTGCCACCTCGGGTGAGACGACTGGACAACGCGCGGCACGAAAGCCTCGCCCACCAAAATCCAGGCTCCGCCGTGGTCCCACACCCTGGCCCCTAGCCGCAGAACCAAATTAACCACCGTTTACAGGTGGCCTAGTTTACGTGCCGAGGACAAGTGAAACCTACGGGAAAACTTTTGTCACAACATGCCAATGCATAGAAAGACTGCTTAGTTGTTAGATTCGCAGCCTGGCGAATTAAGCGTCCTATCCCAACGCAGAGAAGCATTGTGGCCCCAGCCATTCTGGCGAGGTGACAGTATGCGATGGTCACACACAAGCCTACTGCTCTACATCCGAAAACATCGGCTCCAGGCACTTGTCATACTCATGCGGAGCATGCCTCGCCTCCTCCATCAGCTCATCGAGAAACCGTTGTTTGTTCTTGTCCATGTTGATGATGCGCAGCGTGGAACTCAGCACCGCATCTTCAGCTTGCTGATCTGGGCTCCTTGCAGGTGTAGGGCTGTAGAAGTCGCCGAGGTCTAAGAAGGGACCGAGGGTTCGCCCGTGCTCGATGGCCACAATACAAGCTTCCACCGTCGGAAATCCACGGTCGGGCTCGAAGACAGACTTGTTCATGAGCTGCAGCGTCTCATTCATTTTCCGAAAGATGGATTTGTAGTCAGGGTCTTTGGCCAAATCCACATGCTCCGTCGGATCATCCCTCACATTGAAGAGGCAACCCTCAGTGCAATCGACCTGCCAGGTTTGCAGGGCCCTTTCGTCGTCGGTGAGCTCGGGCAAGAATACAGGAGCCCCTGAATAAGTCGACGCGGGAAATGGTCCCCGTTGACTTCGGACGCTTTTCAAAGTGGAGCAGTTCGGATACACCGGCCCTGTCCAGCCACCGTAGACGACATTGCCACTGAGGAACTTGTATGGCCACATCAGCACGGCATGTGAGGATAACTGCATAGGATCGGTTCTGCCATTGCGGTTCTGGAGGATGTTTTGCCACTGCGGCACGCTCTCTACCGGAAACAGCAGGGGCAGGCCATTTTCCCGTAGCCAGCTGTTGGCCGCCTCGGCTTTTTTATCCTCCATGTCCACGCCAGCGAGCTCTGCAAGCGTTCCGTACCAGTCTGCGATGCTGATGACGCCTTCAAACTTCGTGCCACGTCGAGATTCTGGCACGAAGCCGCCTGAGACAAATGCATTCGTTCGGAGACCTCCTTCAAATACGGATCCTTTTCCCCCTCGCAGAGGATGGTTTGAGGCACCGCCGGGTTCATAGATCGGACCGCCGTTGTCAGAAACGAAGATGATCAACGTGTTCTCATACATGTTCTTGTTCTTTAATGCTTCAACTGCTTCACCTATTGCGGCATCCATGTAAAGAGTCATGGCAGCATACAATCGTCGATTTTTGGAATCAATCGGATGGCCACCTGCATCTTTAACAAGGTCATCGATTCGTCGCAGCCACATCTGCGGCACTTGCAAAGGAGTGTGAAGTAGATGGAACGCATACAAAAGGAACAAGGGCTTTTGTGTGTCATGGAACCGGATGATCTCCAGAACCCTCTCTTTGAAACGATGCTCTTCGTAACATGACGGTTCCGATTCCTTCTCGTCGTCGCTTTCGCACACAGCTGACAAGGAAATGTCGTCGAGAGCGGGACCGCAGTAGCTGGAATTGTGCATGGACAAATCTCGCATTTGGTTCAAGCACACGTCAACAGCTCCGAATGCTGAACTCAGGGTTTGCGTCGCGTGCCAATAGTCGTTGGAATGACCGTAGAAGCCATACCAAGTCTCATAGCCCCGCCCTTTTGGTGAGTGCTGCGGCGTCGCAATGCCGACATCCCACTTCCCGACCATGTGGGTGCTGTACCCAGCCTCGAGCAACTTTTCCGCGATGCAGGTCATATTCCGCGGGATCCCTGCAAAGCCGCTCACTGGGTCCTTCGGATTCACTAGCTGCTGGTCAAAATCGTCCATGTATTTGTTCACATGCATTGCAAGGCGCCCCGACTGCAAAGAGGAACGGCTGGGGGCGCACACATGAAAAGCGTAGTGGCGGTCCAACAAGATTCCTTCGTCGATGAGCCTGTCGAGAGTGGGCGTGTGAACCTCCAACTTTCCCTGGAGCTCCCCCAAGGAATCTCCAGCATTCTGGCGATGGACACCCAAGTTGCCCCAACCGTGGTCATCTGCCACGATGAGGAGCACATGAGGAGGTTTGCCCGCTGCCAGGCACAAGAAAGAGAGGGCCAGAAGGAGTGTCATGGCTCTCCCTGACTAAGCAATACTAATACTAATACTGAAACTGATACCAGTATTTTTACTACTACTCATACGAATACTAATTCCTTCACAGCTTCCGCAAAACCTACGAAAGTGGCTCGCGAAGCTCTTTGTGCCACCTCTCGGAAGCTCCTATACTGAACAGTGGCACCCCTGCAAAATTGGAACTGTAACCAGCTGTTTCGCAGGGGTTTATTGTAATCAAAAGCTAGAACTTTCTACAAGTACCCCTACGTTTCATCTACGAGGGATATCGGTTAAGAGGGCAGCTTCTTTTGCCTAAGCAGTTTCGGGCTTCGCTAGAGCCTTGAGCCGCAGCCATTGGGCTCAACTTCTGTGGCGGGACTTGCAGGTCACCGAAATGCTTCAAAGGAAGCGTTAAGCCAGGTAGAGGCAACTAGTACTTGGACTATTTACACCCTGTCCTACATCATTCATGCTTGAGCCTAATATAGGGGCCTGAATCATCAGAATAGGGTTGTAATGAGAGTGTAGTAGACCCGGAAACCCTATTCTAATTACTAAGAACCCTATCGCCAGCAGGGGGCTTTCTCACTGATCGACGGAGGCCTTGCCGAGAGAAAAGCCGCAGCATTGGCGGCTGCAGCCACTGCTGCGGCAGCGGCGGCGGCGGACTGGGCATTGTCCAGGGGCTTCAGGCCCTGGCAAGAAGCAAAGCATGAGTCAACCAGACGCCGACATATCTTGCAATCGAAACTCAGCTCGAGCCTGGGGAGCTGGTCGGAAAGATAACGCGATCGATCCCACAAAGACAGCAGATGAGTCCAAAGCACGAAACGACTTTCGAAAAGAAGTACACCAAGATCTCGACACACACCCTCAAGCTAACGCCAAAAAAAACCTACTGCTCGACCTAAAAGATGCGCCAAGTCGTTCGTCACGTGAGAGGGCAGCTCTGAGCAGCGGTGTGACCCAGCCGCGGACTTGCGGTGTTCGTGATTGAAACTTTCCCAACAGTCGCGTGTCCCCAACACGGCACCACTACTTGTCAAAGGTGTGTCGAGCGTCCCGGGCATCAAGCCCGGACATACGACAATGGGATTTTGGGAAGAGGTGAAAGCCTCGACTTGTCGACATGTCGCGTGCATACAGGCAAGTTTTTCCTGAAGGAAATACCCCAAATTGCCAAATCCACCATGAATGCTTAGGAAGACGCCTTCGCCTGCTTATGCAACATCAAGATTCTAGCCGGTTGTTTCGACTATTTGTGCCGCTCTTCGTACATGGAGACATCGCATAAATTCTGTGGCAAACTTGAACCCACGAAGAGACCCGGTAATCTCGGCACCCGGCGGCGAGACTTGGGTGGACTCGGGCAGTTGGGGTGGAGGAGCCTGGCGGCAAAGGCATGGTTTTTGGCTTTCTGACTTTGTTCAGGAAACTCTACATGTGCACATATACATGTATACCTACATATATGTATACATGTACATATATATGTATATTTGTACATGCACACATGTGTACATGTGTACATGCGTACATGTGTATATGTGCACATGTGTATATGTGTACATGTGTACATGCGGACATGCCACACGTGCACATGCGTACGTGTGCACATATGTACAGTGATCACGTACGGCGTGCAACGTACAATGTACAACATATACATGTACATATACACGTACGAAGACACGTCTAGAACATATACACGCATCAAAACTAGCATGAAACTCCGTGGAGCTTATATGATGCCTGTATGCATATACCTATGCATGTGGATATGCACATGTATGAGCGGATGTATGTTCGAGCCTCAACTTTGAGTCTGAGACGATCCGCTCACGACCCTGCCAGGCACATGGGCCTGGATTCTCTGCAAAGCGTGAACATGGCATTCCTTGCTTTCCGAATGCTTCCACGGCTATCCGGCATACTTGTAGGATCAGGGGTGCTGTGTGCTGTGAGCAAAGCTAGAAGTATGACAATTATAGTAATTGATAGCTACTACATCTCAGCCCCAGTACGGCATTGGCTACTACCCGTGAGCTAGTTAAACTGGGGATTGGGGGAGGCTTTTGCTCTAACGAAATTAGCGAACCCTAAAAAAGAATCTTTCTCTTGGTGCAGGCCCGTTGTGTGATTTCCAAACCCCTATATCATCTCAGGGGTTCGAGGAACTGATCCCGAAATTCGACGGCCTTTGTCCTCACGCCTTCTGCGCCGCGGCGCCTTGCCTGCAGCGGGGGACGCTGCAAAGCTGTTTGCGAAACTGGACCTGCACTTCCCAACTGCATATCCCGCCCCCGAAGACTGTTCTGGGCCTCAGCCCAAATATGGGATGTCGCCTCTTCTATATTCCACCAGAGGAGAACCAAGCCAGAAAGTTTTGGGGAGGGTCGGGAGCGAAAGATCCACACAGCATTTTCTTGGTGAGACCCAGGCGCTTCACACGAGTTGTACAGTTTACACGCGGTACGGTGTCGGAGACAACGCGAAAAACCACAACTTGTTACAGCCAACCTTGGGATTTACCAGAACTTCATCCGCGCTTGTTTCAGGATGCTTTAGGGGATTGAGGTTTATGGGGTTCAGACGCTTGCACGATATTCCAAAAAACTGATCACCAAGGGCAACGAAAGCTCGACATGAGTCGGGGACAGATCTTGCTGCCATTTACCAGCGTACCAGATGACTCCCGACGTTCCCGATCAGTCAGAAGCCCACATAAACCACACAATGGTCCCAACAAAACCTGACCGTCCCCGAGTGCTATCACGTGGTCCGAGCAAAATCCGCCGACAGATGCACTCTCCGTACTTGTAACATAAGACCATGAGAGGAGCATCTGGCACAGGCAAGCCCACAAGAGGAGCATCCGGCCAGGATTCCGACGGTTTTGGGTTTAGGGTTCCTCGACTATCACTCCCTCATTTGCTGACTCCACTAGGGGCCGCCTCGCTGCCGCGACGGGTTCCTTGAATCTGAAGCATCTAACCTGAGGCTTCGACCGCATAGTTACTATGCCATAGTACGTTATGACACACTATCGTAATATGACGATATAGTATGGAAGGTTATAGTATACTACAGCGTGCTAAAGAAACACTGTATTATATGTGTACTGTACTAGTGTATTATAGTATGCTGTCGTATGATAAAATACATTCTAGAATATTAAAGATATTATAGCATACTGTAGTATGTTGTCGTATACTATAGTTCAAAAAACTGATGGAAAATACTATAGTATATTAATACATTATAGTGTCAAGACAGAATGACAGTTCACCCGTAGAGGTATCATTTTGAGAATCTAGCCGATATGTAACCGCACTGCACCATCCCGTGCTTCGGCACTCACAACTAGTCAAGCAGGCGAGGATCCGAGTACCAAAACGACAAGCACATTGGCCACTCCTAGCAACGTGCTTCGAGGTTCCCCGAACATGGGACCCTGACGCAAGGCGCTAGAGCAAGAGCCGCACATCAGAAACACCCTCTTACACACTCCGAGTGGCAGCCAAGATGGCATCCGCTGAAACACCAAAACTTGAGTATTCAAACTCTAAAGGCCTGTGCTGGTGATGCCACCAGAAAATCCTGAGCTACAACAAAACTAGCTAATGAATGTTCGACAAGTTTCCGCTCCTGGCGCCGATCCCTCCGTCTTGGGGGCGTCGGCGGCCGGCCCTTCTAGTTGATGCTGGTTCTACACTGTGAGAGAAGCCAAAACACCAATGCTACAACACAAGCCTTGCAGAAGCTGAGCACATGTGGCAACTTGTATCGCAGGTCGGCTTCCTTACATAAGCTTGGTCCACATCAAATAGGACTCGATCCGCTCCTGCGCAAACCCTAGAACCACAATGTCAATATCCCAGCGGACCACATTGCCAGACACGGATTTATCCGAACGGAATCCGAACAGAACACCATACTAAGCAAGTAACATAGCATTCCAATCATCAAGACCCGACGATTTCGGACTTCGCAGAAAGAAGCCAAGCCCCACCTTTCGGCCGGGCACTTCCTCGCGGCTCGCCCGATACCCAGGGTCGCGGGACTCCTTTCTCTGCTCCTGGCACCCCATCTATGTGAACACAACAAGGTGTGGAAAGGTGTATACTGTCTGTCTGTGTGTGTATATAATTATACATATATATATATATATATGTGTGTGTGTGTGTGTCTATATACGTATCTAGAGCGAGGGCGCGAGAGAGAGAGAGAGATCATGATCATGCACCATGCATGGATGAATGGATGGATGAGTGGGTGGGAGAGTGCATATATAAATGGATGGGTAGATGGCACATACACACATACGTACGAACATACATACATACCAACACACATACATAAATGAAAATAATACATACACCTATGTATCCATATATATATATATACACATACATACATATATATATATATATACTTATTTATTTTTTATCTATTTATTTATATTTATACACCTACATGCATCGATGCACTCTTTTATGCCGAAGCACAATTGTACTGAGATAGCATTTTAGAAAACTAGCATACTACACCGGGCATAAGCTTACTGCATAAGAAGCCACGCAAACCTGTGGAGTGTCATACACAGACTATCTTGCAGTGTCTTGCTTTGCATCTTGTTGCAGTAACATCTGGTCCATGGTGACATTGCGTCGCCCCATACAAGACTGAACAGTATCGTACAATGCGGAGGAGGTATGGTGCAACAATATGTAATGAACTCTGTAGGACATATTGCCAAGGATATAGGCAAGATAAAACTCAATCCAATCTCAACTGGTGGTTTCCCAAAATAGGGGACCCTGATATCGTACCCTAAATAGTAGGATCCCTATTATAAGGACCCCAAAATAAGGTACCCCTAATTTTCGGAGACTCCCAACTATCTTCGCCCGACCCTCTGCCAGCCTTGGAACCCAGAGGCTCCCTCCGCCTTGCTAGCGGCGAGGGGTCGCGGGCCTGTTCCGAAGAAGGTCAGGACAGGAATTACAAAAATAGGGGGCTCTGATATAGCACCCTTAATAATAGGATCCTTATTATAAGGACCCCAAAAGAAGGTACAGTGGCAGCCGAAAAATCCCGCAAACACAATGCCCTCACGATCACTTCGACGAGTCTTGAAGTACCTCGAGGCCAGAAGTCGTGCAAACCCCCACCGGCCTCCATCCGCCGGCCTGGCCAGGGTGAAGGCAGGTTAGATGTCTCTGGCAATGGAAATAGTCATCGAAATAGTAATCGTAACACGAGATTTCAATATCCTGTAGCCCAAGATCCTTTACGATATTTCCGACCCCGAATGCAGTTACATGATACCTTGCCTACTTAGGTGTATGGCACCACCCAGCCCCAGTAGGGATAACATCTATCTCAAGATCTCACCACCCATCCTGGGATAACATCTATCTCAAGATGTCACCACCCACCCCAGGATGACATCCATCTTAAGATCTCAGCCCTAATAGGATGATCCCGACCCAAGTTACCAGGGGGGTTCCCGTTCAATTTAAGGGTCTAGGTTCTTGGATAACGAAAGTGGCCAAAAACCTGAAATTACGCTTTGAGACGTGATCCAGAAGGCCTCGGCAATCGATTTTGGAAACGGTAGCGCTGCTCAGACTTTTTAGGTGGGTGAAAATGTACCGCACAGGAGATCAGCAAAATGCTGTTGTTCTACGGCAAGTTGACTTCAACTATCGCGTCACGACTGTGCAGGCCTAAACCCCGAAAATCTCGGAAGCGCCCCGGGGCCTTTGTACTCCTCCGGCACCTTGGGCGCTGCCTCAGCGAGTCTCAGCGACCCTCAAAGGGTGGATAAGTGGTGGGCGCTTCGAAGGGTTTCGGTGCCAAGGTTTGAGGGATCGAAGGGTGAGCAGGTGATATGATTTTTGGAAGTGTTGAGGAGTGGCTTGACTGCTGGCGCAAGGTTGTCTCTTTCCACATTCTGGCTTATCGTTCCGGGTCGGGCATCGCCGAGGCAACTCTCGAAAGTGGCTGAAATGACCCTAGGAAGGCACCACCAAGAAGCCGTCATTTCCGGTCGCGCTCGCCGTGGCAGCGGCGGCGCTGGCGGCTGTGAGGCTGGCACCTTGTTTTAAACTCCAGCCAGCATGGCTCAATGGAAAGACAGGAGCAGGATGCAGTGCGGAAGGCAAGCAAAGGTTCCCATTCGAGGCGCCACCGCGGCCTTCGACGCCTTGGTCTCATGGAGTCCAAACTTTTGGGGTGAGTGGAAGTAGGAGTAGGAGCAGCAACAGCAGCTCTAGGAGTAGGAGCTGGAATAGAAATAGGAGGAGGAGTTGCATTGGGAGTATATAGGCAGGCGGAGGAGTGGGAGTGGGAGTAGGAATGGCAGTAGCAGTAGCAGGAGGAGTGGAGTAGGCCGAAACCCAGGCCGAGGAGGAGGAGGAGGAGCAGCAGCAACAGCAGCAACAGAAGCAACAGCACCAGCAGGACGTCGTCGTCGCGGTGGTAGTGGCGGCGGCAACTGCAGCCCGAGATGCAGACAGCAAGGCCTCGATGGCTGCGTCATCAAATCCCAGGTTCAATGCCTCGCCCTCCTGCACAGGAACTTCGGCCTTTGGTATCGTAGGAGGGGATCCCCGCAGCCTGCAGCATGCCTGCACTATGGGAGAAGCAACACGATGACAGTTTTGCTTTTGTTGTGCCAGCATATGCCAGTATACTCATATCCTGGAACCACAACAACTCGCAACATGAATGCCAGCAGTGCAAGTCGCAACATTAATGCCAGCAGTGCATGAGTAACATTAACAATGACAATGTACGGTCTGCCGTCAAAACCCCTGCACAACCTAGCATCCTGCAAGCCCATGCCAACCATTCAATACGATCATGACTCTCAAAACAATGCATGCAGGCAGGCTTCGGGTTTTTGCATCGGGCTCAGGGTTCACGAACAGTCCCGCGAATCCCGAACCTGATAATCTTTGCCGAGGCCTCCAGGACCCGTCGGGGAATGGGCGGCGGTGGCGGCGGCGGCAGCGAACAGGGGACTAGGCCAGAAAGAGGATGTTATAGCACATGTTTCGGTAGCAGTATGCAAGAATCTACTGCAGCATACTATTGCTGTATCTGTGTCCACATACATACATACACACATACATTCATTCATTCATGCATTCATGCATGCATGCATGCATACATACATGTATGTATATACAACCAACATATCTACTAGGGTGTATGTATCTGTTTTTTGTTCTATTTAAGTCTCTGATGTCTGACATACCGTTTCATCCTAATTAGAATGCTGAGTCTTGCTGGATCTTGCCAGACCGTGCTACACGTCACTTGGTAGCACTAGCTGTCTACTTTCCTAGTAGATACTACTCCTTGCATTTCATGCATTATAAATCAGAACTAAACTGGAGAGAACGCGACGCCCTAGCACATTTACTGCATATTTTGCTACACTAACTCATCCTGCGATATCTAGTCTACTTTGCATCGCCATACATAGCCCGTGACTAATATACGGAGCAAGAATTAACATTGCTGCATTTGAACTTATGATCTGTTCGAGCGCACTACAAGGTTTCACCGAATTGTCACGTATTCCGACACTATGCATGAACCTTGCACAGCTTGGACATGGCCAATGCTATTCAATGTCGGATGCGCCAGAAGTGTGGAACCGTTCTCCCGTCTCAATGGTCAACAGCGTGTGATCGCCGCAAGCGTGCTACCTCATCCTGGAATGTTTCCTAAAAGCCTAAACCCAAACCCAAACCAAAGCCAAAGTCCTCAGAACCTTAAACACAAAAGTGCATGTCAGGTGGCCTAACATGTAAACAAAGGGTTTTTGTGGGGGTGAGGGGTATAGTACAAGGAACCCAAAGACCCCGAAAAAACATACCGTTTCGAGCTGCCGCTAGTAGCCCTAGATGCCCTAGGAGATCCTACAAGCCCTCCCCTAAATCCTAAATCCTTTTTACACAGGCTTGATCGAAGCTCGCTTGGCCAACCCTCAACCCTTTTGCAGCAGGCTGCTCTCGCGCGGAACTGCCCGCCGTGAGCGCGCAACCCCGCACAACGTGCACTCATGACGAACCCTCAACCCTACACCCTAGACCAAAAAACCCTAAATGGGTAGTTGTCAAAATTATGGCCCCTTTTGGGGTACCCTAAAATAATAGGTACCATAATTTTGACAACCACCAAAATCCTCAACTGCCCTAACCCTACACCCTAAACCCTAAACCCTAAACTCTAACCACCCAGATCCTCAACTGCCTGCTTCCGGCATCGCCGGCGCGGGTGTGGCGGGCTTGGCAGCTCTTGAGGCTCTCCACTGTTGGAGCTCCAGCACACCTCAAGTCGAGGGCTACCGTCTCTTTAGGGTTTAGGGTTTAGGGTTTAGAGTTTAGGGTTAGGGGTTAGGGTTTAGGGTGTAGGGTGTAGGGTTTAGGGTTTAGGGTTTAGGGTTTAAAGGGTAGCATAAAGGGTACTTTTAAAGGGCTAGAAGGGTCGAGAAGGCTACCATACAGGGTACAATAAGGGTACTGTGGGTATGCGCGTTCCGAGTTTTGGGTTGTGGACGCTTGACAGTCTTCGTCACCATCATGGAAGCTAGTTCGTTCCAGGCTTCAAAAGACGCCTAAGTTGTTCAGGGTTGATAGAGGCTATAGCCACTAGCAGCCACTAGCAGCCACTAGCATTCCTTGATCCAAGAGCAGCCAAAAGCGGCCCCAGATCTCTCTGTCAGACTTCGAGACGCGGGTTCCAGACCCCGGTGCCGGTGCCAGCATGGCAAACCAGTACCATTGATAGTTGCTTTATCGCACCCTTTGTGGTGCTGTACCCTTTATGGTACGCTTAGGGCTTAGGAAACCGAGCCCACGCATGGCCGAATGCCGAACCGAAACTGGAAAACAGATGGACTCCTGTGCTGCATGGTCCGAAAATTCGACGCGACCCGTTCGGGAAGACCTGTCAACAGATCCCGGGTAAGAATCTCAGGGCACATGCCAACTCCTCCGAAAGGTAAGGCACCGATTGGCTCGCCATCCAGGTCATCATCAACGCAGCCTTGAAAGGGTGCTGGGCTCTCGCCTCAGGTTTGACAGGACCGAGGATGTGCCTATTCGTCATGCATCCGCACCGCATTGAACAGTTGTTCTTCTGTGCTCCTGCCCCCCCCAGTGCTTTGCCCTCTGACGCCCGGGCTGATGGGAGCTGGCTCGGGCAGGACCCCTTCCGCCCAGGACCAGCCAGTCATCGCTGCAGATATCGCACCACCCGCAGATGCTGGCTGGTTCCTCCGTCCAAAATCATATCGGATCGCAATGTACTCTCTACGGCCGCAGGATTACGCATGACATGTGGCGTAAGATTGATATTGACCTCCTCTGACCCGGAAACATCTCGAAGATTCCTGAGCACCAGCTGCTGCTGCAGCTCGGCAAAAAGCGGGGTCTGGATAGGTGTGCCGTCAATGTCGTCGTCCATCACCTCCTTCGTCGGCTCGCGTTCGGATACGTCGGTCGTCCGGGCTTTGCTCGGATCCGAAGCTCTGGCAGACCAATAGACTTCAAAGCACTGCAGTCTTTGCAGCAATGTCGACTTCGAAGGTGGAAGTTGGTCGGTTCCGCTGTGTGTCCAAAGGCCTCTGTTTCTACAACGTCGCTCCAATGCCAAGGGATCCAGGGCCGCGTAGGCCTCCAGTTTCCTCACGGCCCAAACAGAAATCATACCCCCTACAGTCCCTACAGCCTTACCGGCTCTGCCTGGACTTCCAACTTGGAACAGCCAGGCGACATTCGCAGCTCCTTGCCCTGCGCCTCCATCGCCAAGTCAGTTCCCAGAGCACCCGCAAAGGCAGCCGCCTCGAGACCTCAATCGCTTGAGGGAAACGGAAACGCAGCGTGCGTCGACCGGCCAGTGGGGCCAAAGACCGCTGGACGCTGGGCTACGGAATGCAGAAACTAAGAGGATACCATCCAGGTAGATGGTGGGGTAGAACTCCGCGTCACGCCAAGCCTCTCTTGGAGCTTTCGGGTGGACCAAAAAAATCACAGACTCTCGTGACGCCCACCCCCCCCCCCTCCCCATGCCGGGCCTGGAGCAGCTTCTTAACTCGAGCTTCCTCAAGACTCCGCGCTGCACGGGGCAGCGCAAAGAGGCCCATATAGAGGCGGTGGAAGACTCGGGGCAGGAGATCCTCTGAAGATTGGAAGCTTCTGGGATGCCAGGTACGGCGGGTCAGGAAGGGATGAAGTGTACTGGCTTTGAAGGAGTCCTCTCATCAGGGGAGAGCCTCTTCTCTTGTGCATGGGGCCTCGAACAATGCTCAGTGTGGTACAGGCATGCATGTTCGCGGGCCTGCAGTCGATTTCGGTAAGGTAGCGGTCACGTGGTGCATCTCTTCATGCCCGGCACTGTCATTTTGCTATCCTTTGCCTGCAGAGTGTAGGCACGGAGCACAACAAAGCTTAAGGTTGGGACGAACTTTATTGGCGCAGCTCAAGCAACGTTGATCTGTGGCGAACGGTGTGGCGGCTGCTTCGTCAAGCGAACAGAGAGCTGAACATACATTGGATTCCATCACATCGAGAAGTATCCCGGGCCACTGGAACTGTTGACTTATGGAAAATTGTGAACAATAATCTTGCTGATGATAGTGCCAACATCAAACGACATGCTTTACCGGAACGCACAGCTTCTGCATACAGGTGCCTCGTGGATCAGAACAATGCCATTGATCGCATGAAGAGACTTTCAACTGATTTCTTGCGTGTGGTTTGGGATGCCCATTCTGCCGAACAACATGGAGGAGCGTAGTGTACTTTTCTTGAACCTACATCGAAAGGGATGTGGATGTGTCACACGGCACCGTCGGACATGTTCACTTGCAAGTGTTTGCCTAAACCCTAAACCCCTAAACCCGAACCCCCTAAAGCGTGAGGCGAGGTTTGGAGCCCAAGTAATTAGGCTCAGGGTCGAGCGTGGCGGGCTTTAGGTGTCTGGGCACACAGTTTGGACTGCATGCCAGCTTTGAATACCAGCCTGCATGATCACGGACTGCTGGAACAATTCCTGAAACCACCGCTCTCAGCAGCGTTAGAGGGCACTACAACAGCAACTGAGCCCTGCGAGTGATGCCTTAAAGTCTTACAGGGTCCTATATAGTGTTATAGGGGATTACTTCCTTACACCAAAATAGTAATTCCTCATGTAGATTCCCTACATTTACATTCTACAGGTACACAGGACCCTTGCGGTTTTCACGTCCTGAAGCTGGTATCTAAACTTAGGGCCTAAACCCTTCACCTTTAAGTTCTCAACCAAACTACCTCGCAAACCCTATCAATCTTGAGCCCGCAGACCCTACAGCCCGATATCCTGTGGAAGGAAACCTCGCCGCTAACACTAGTCGGCAAAAGAGACTAAACCCTAAACCCTAATCAAAAAAAACTCTCTGAGACTTCAAGTAATAGGGGCCTTAAGAATCAGAATAGGATTTTGGGTCCCATTATACTATCTGTAATTATAGGAAGAAACCCCCAAAATAGTATAGGTAATTGTGTAGGCCCCTTATAGTAACTGAGGGCTTCGGCACCCTCAAGCCAGGAAGCCTGAAAACCCTCAAGATTTCACTCTCTAAAATGCGGACCCTTCGAACTTCTCATGCTTTAGGGCTTCGGGTTTAGGGTTTAAAATAGGGTTTAAGGTTTACAGAACCTCCGGAATTCTCCTGCAAGCATTTCGGGTTAGGGTTTAGGGCGTAGGGTTTACAGAACCTTCGAACTTCTCAGGCAAACATTCAATAACCCCTCGCCCAAATTCTATATGAAGCATAAAGACCATACCTCCAACAACTCGACACCCGACTAAGGTTCAATGCGAGTTCAACCCTCAGCCGCTCTCAAACCCCGGTACAGAGACGTTAATTAGATGAGCCCTATAGATCTACCCCCCCCCAAAAAAAAAAAAAACTAATCCCTTAACCCTAAACCCTGAATAACCCCTGAAGCCCAAACCCCAACACGGCTCTCAAACTGCCCTTTTCCTACGCTGGCCCTACGTCCCCACTGGGGCGCTCTTCAAGATCTCGGTGAGTTGCTGCGCGAGCTCCATCATGGTCCTTAGCTGGTCGTACGAGGCTTTGACGAAGGGTCTGGTGCTTTAGCGTGTAGAAACCCTAAACCCAAACCTGAAACCCTAAACCCTAAACCTTAAACCCTAAACCCTAAACCCTAAACCTTACACACTAAAGTTTAGTGGTCGGGGCTCAGGACCTGAAGTTTCATGTTTAGGACGGCTTCGGGCTTGAAGCTTGAGGCTTAGGGTTTATAGGGTTTAGGGTTTTCAGGTTAGGGCTACCTTAAATCTAAGTCCCAAGCCCTAAACCCTAAGCAATCTAGTGGCTGATAAGGGGTTGCATCAGAGCTTTGAGGTTTTACGGTTGCGTTGCATGCAGGATGCCCATAGGCTCCCTGCAAAAAATATCACTGGAGGTGTCGCGACTACAGCTTTTAGTGTCGACCTCCGGCACGGGATTTAAGGCTTAATGTAGGGGCCGCAAGAATTGCCTACTCTATAATTTTGGAGGCTCCTTATTATATTTATACTATACAGGACCCCAAAACCCTATTCTAATTGTTAAGGCCCCTATATTAGACCCGAAACCCTAAACGCAAAACCCAAAACCCTATTCTAATTATTAAGGCCCCTATAGTAGGGCTTCTGGATTCGGAAGCATTGCCCTTTTGGAACCTGCACGACTCGAAGGGTTTAGGGTTTAGGGTTTAGGGTTTAGGGTTTAGGGTTTAGGGTTTAGGGTTTAGGGTTTAGGGTTTAGGGCACCTTTTCCAACACTTGACGGCCCCAGATCCCCTCACACCCTAAAGCCGCAAACGCTCGCATCCCAAACTTTTCTAGATCCCAAACACCCCAAAACAGCCTAATATGGATTATAACTATAGTTACCCTACTTATAACCCCACTTATAACTACCCATGAACCTTCAAGTAGACCCTAAACCCTAAACCCTAGACCCTAAGCCCTAAACCCTTATGGTAGCCCTTATAAAGCCCATGAACCTCCAAGTACCCTAAACCCTAAACCCTAAACCCTAAACCCTAAAACCCTAAAACCCTAAAGCCCTAAAACCCTAAAACCCTCAAACCCTAAACCCTACAGCCCTTTTCGAAAGCAACCGACTCTTTGCAGCTCAGACTCGGCCGCCGCTGCGCCTGGGGATTCCAACAGCGCCGCATGAGAGACAGCAACGCTTGTGGGCAGCCGCCCTGGAAAGAAAGAGGGTTTAGGGTTTAGGGTTTAGGGTTTAGGGTTTAGGATTTAGGGTTTAGGGTTTGGGGTTAGGGTTTGGTAGGGTTGAGGGCTTCAGATCCAGGAATCCAGGATTTGGGGGACTCAAGACTAAGACTAGACTAAAAGGTGAAGCCAAAGGACCCTGGAATCCGACAGTCGCAACGTGCGTCCCTTGGGCAGTTGCCTCCACACATTCGGTGTTGGGTCTTCGACCGTTCGCAATCTCTTTGCCTCGGCTGTGGCGGCGGGAGTGATGTTGGTGGACCGGTGGACGTGAAGAAGAGTAGAAGTTAGACCCGAAGCCCTAAACCCTAAGCCTGACATAGATGCGTCCCCAAGTAGCGGTCATGGGTCGATCTTAGGATGCATGGCTTCAAACTTCCACAGTAAGCTTAGGGTCCTGCCGAACTTCAGGGTTTGGGCGTCGGGCGTAGTATTTAGGGTTTAGGGTTTCGGGTTGGTTTAGGGTAGGATTCAAGGCGTCAGGGGGTTTAGGAATAGTGGGCTACGCTTCACGCGTAAGAGCGGTCCAGTAGCCGGGACTTCCTGAACCCCTTTAGGGTTTAGGGTTTCGGGTTTTGGGTCTACTGGAGTCGGTCCTCCACCACCCTAGCCCCGAAACTGCATAAGGTCCAAACCCAAACCCCTAAACCCGTCATACGGTTGATGATATAAATCAGCATTACCCATAATAAGGCATATACCATACTTCCCATAGTTTAGGGTCCTTAAGGTAATGCACAATTTATATCATCAACCGTAGGACCCTAACCCTAAACCCTAAACCCTAAAACCCTAAACCCTAAACGCGAAATCTTGCTTTACCCACGGCTTACTTACGGGCTTTGCCGAGCGACATCTGGCCTCTTCAGGCCTCGGCTGCTTGCGTTTGGGGGTTCACGGTTTAGGGCTTAGGGTTTAGTGCTGAGGGTTTAGAATGCAATAGCAAAAATATGCAAACATGATAACCGTATGATGGCAGTAGCAAGAGTACTAACAATAGACATAATGACGGTAATAACAAGACGAATATTGTAACAATAGTAAGAACTGTTGCCGTACTGCTTTCAGCTAACGACATGGGTAATGATTATCATAGTATCAAAAAAAGCAACAACAATAGCAAACGTGAAAGAACAGTGGCTATGATGACAATGATGTTACCAAGATTGATAGAAAAAGTCATCACGATAATAATCAAAATGACAGTCGCAGTAGTAGTAGTAGTAGTAGTAGTAGTAGTAGCAGTAGTAGCAGCAGCACGTACGTAGTACGTAGCAGCAGCAGCAGCAGCAGCAGCAGCAGCAGCAGCAGCAGCAGCAGCAGCAGCAGCAAGAGCAGCAGTAGCAGTAGCAATAGATTCAATCATAATCATAACATTGGACTGAGTTCTGGCGGAAGTCGGCGGGTTCAGCGTCAGGATTCGCACCTACAGTTTCCAAGGATAGGGTTTTCCATTGAGGGATCGCAAGGGCTCAAGAAAGTTCTTGAGGTATAAACCCTAAACCCCTCAAATCTAGGTACACAGGCTCCCTGCTTCAAGTAAGCACAAGTCACGTCGTCAACTCCCAGACATCGCTGTAAGGGATGGTCCTGGACTGCCCAGATGTGACCCCTACTGTGTCCCGCAGCCCGAAACCATTTCAGCTATCAGAACGCATGGAGCTACTAGACTTGCTTTATACACAATTATGGCAATACATCAAGTTCCTTAAGACGACCGCTTCAGGCTGATCCCTATCCCAATCTGGAAGAAGACGCAGAGGCACTTATGGCCCCTTTCCACCTTGGGTTTGGGTCACTGGCTCGGGTGGGAACAGATTGTCCACAATGCATGCCTTCATACATATCGGAACATATATGTGAAACACTGGAGGGTGTTTGTGTGTGTGTATGTATATTAAAGTATACACATGTGTATGCAACTATATACACACTTATGCCTTTGGAAAAGCTATACACATGTTACATCTATGTATCTATACATATCTATATATATATATGGCACGAGAAACACAGCTGTCTCTGGCTCTCAAACATACCAAAGCGGTAGATCCTTCAGAGGGGGTTGCATATGTGTGTGTGTGTATATATTATATATGCATACATAGATATACCCCATAGGAGATAGTTTTGGAGATAGTTAGAGATAGGGGTAGACTTTAGAGATAGGACAGAGATAAAGATAGAGGTGCAGATAGAGATAGACTCTAGACTCTAGCGCTACAGGTAGACGTAGAGGTACATAGAGGCCTTAATAATTAGATTTGGGGTATATTATACTATATTCATAATAAGGAACCCCAAAATTGTATTGATAATTATTGAGGCCCCTATATTCGGGAGGCATCATGGCCGAAGCAGGATGAACTGCGTGAGAACCTCGAAGCCCAAGGCAAGGTTATCGCGCTTTGGGTAACCCTGAGGCTCCATGTTTAGGGGTTTAGGGTTCAGGGTTTTGGGGTGTATTTTACTATCATTCCTTTAAGGGTACTACTATAAGGGCTAATTGAAGAGTTTCTATAGGGGTACATACTTTTGCCTTGAAGTAGGCCCTAGAAAATGTCCTTTGGGGCCAAAGCCTCTACTATTTTGGGTACATGGACCCTTCAACGCTAAACCCTTATAGTACCCCTATAGAAAATCTTAGAGGAACCCTTATAGCAGTATCCTTAGGAACCCTATTGAACTTAGGTACATGGACGGACCCTTAGGGTAGTGGTGATGCATCACAGCAAGAGGTTGCTTGACAACGGAAGTCGCAGCCCGGAGATTCAAGTTTAGGGCTTAGGGCTTGGGGGTTTAGGGTTTAGGGGTTTAGGGTTTAGCGGTTAGGGTTGAGGATTTAGGGGTTAGGGTTGAGGGTTTAGGGCTTAGGGCTTAGGGTTTTGTCCGTGGGTGTGAAGACCATCGTCATGGCGATCAGGCTTTGGACTCTTTATGAACCTTGCCTAAACCCTAAACTAAGCTGTTCAGTAACCAGCTGGGAAAAGTATATACTTTTTTGGGTTATTTATATTTCATTAGGAACTAATACCCAAAAAAAGTAAAAAAGGATACTACTGAACCCTGTTGTTGGAGGAGTGTTCTGGCATGTTCTGCCCCAGGGCCACTCAGCTGCTTGGGGTTTACGGCCTCGGTTCCCAACGTCTTGAGTGTTAGACTCGCGTATCCGGAAACTACAACTCGTGAACCTCAGACTGACATCAGTCCATGAGCCTCAAAACGCGAAATCCCGAACCCTAAACCTTAAACCCTAAGCCCTAAACCCTAAACCTTGAACCCCTAAACCCTAAACCCCTAAACCCCTAAGCCCTAAACCCTAAACCCCTAAACCCTAAGCCTCCAAACGCGAAACCCGAGATCCCGAGGCCGAGCGCCAGTCCTAGACAGGACCTCGAACATGAGCATGCCAAAGCAGTAGACATCTGAGTGCCTGCAGCAGGACTTCCCAAAAAAAAGGCCTTGAAAAATTCGAATAGGGTTTTGGGGCCCATAATGCTATATTTATTATCAGGAACCCCCAAAATAGTATTGAATTGGTAATTATCTAGGCGCCTACTGAGCCCTAAACCCTAAACCCGAAGTCTTTGCGATTTGCGACTCCCTGCTCGGAGTGACGCGCAGCTCAGAAACAGACTTCTACGCGTCGTCAGCTTTGCAGCTGTCCTACGTCATAGCCTGTGTCGTTTGGCTCCGACATGTAGGTCCATTGTATACAACCATATACTTGATAAGCAGGTATACTGAGTTCATCACAAGTAAAGGAAAATCGTTTCCACTAGCCCCCTGCCGCAATTCTCAACAGTCCGTCCGGCACCGGGGTCAGTGTTGAAATCCTCCCCTTCCTCATTGCTTCGTTCTGACCCCTTCATTTTGCGGAGCGAAAAGCCGCAGATCTCAAGTTCTTGTGGTTGCTGCAGTGCTCAGTCACCCTGCAATGCTTGCAGGTCTCCGTCCCTAAGCCCTAAACCCTACACCCTAAACCGTAAACCCTAAACCCTGAACCCTAAACCCTCAACCCTAAATCCTAAACCCCTAAGCCCCAAACCCCTAGACCCTAAACCCTAAACCCTAAACCCTCAACCCTAAACCCTAGACCTCCTGTGGCTTTTGCATCCGGCAGTTCCACTGCGGTGCCTGCAAGCCTGTGGGCTCTGCCTCAAGCAGTTCCTGCAGTCAACCACGCACTGGTTGTTCAAAGAGCCACATGGGTAGTTCTCTAAATTAGGGACCATAAGTCTTTTTAGGGTTTAGGGTTTAGGATTCTGAAGCCTCTACCATTTATATGGGTGGTTCTCTAAATGTGGGTCCTCTTTTGGGGTCCCCAATATAGGGGCACCCTTATGAAAAGGACCCTAAAAGGCACCCACATTTGGAGAACTATCCACATACATACATCCTGCAGATACATAACTACAGATATTCGGATTAGGCAATGAATGAGGGCATGTTCTTGTCACCAAATTCTGGTGGACAAAACGCCGGACTGCCCTAGTGTGCACCAATCCCTCGACCCGGAACCCTTTCGTGGCCTGAAGCCTGACTATACCGTAAGGCCATAAAACCCATACCCTAAGCCTTCGTAAGATATCAGGAACAGCTTAAGGTTTTGGCACTAAACCTAGATCCCAAACCCTCCCACGTAATCCCTTAACTCTAAACCCTCAACCCTGCAACCCTAAACCCTAAACCGCTGAACCCCTAGACCCTAAACCCTAAATCCTACTTAGAGAATCATGGGTAGTTATAAGTCGGGTTATAAATCCCCTATAACCATAGCTACCCTACTTATAACTCCACTTATAACTACCCATGAACCTCCAAGTAGACCGTCAAAGCTGCCCTAAGCCCTAAACCCTTGAACCCCTAGACCCTAAACCCTAAACCCTAAACCCTAAACCCTAAGCCCTAAACCCCTAAACACCTAAACCCCCAGACCCCTAAACCCCTAAACCACTAAAACCCTAAACCCTAAACCCTAAACCCTAAACCCCTAGACCCTAAACCCTAAACCCTAAACCCTAAACCCTAAACCCTAAACCCTAAACCCCTAAGCCCCAAACCCCTAGACCCTAAAC